AAAAAAAAAAAAAAAAAAAAAACTAATTAAAAAGCCAGAGAATAGTAGAATTTTTGGTCCCCCCATTTCAAGATCAACTCCATGGCTATTACTAGCTGTAAAGGGATCCGAAGTCTACTCTTCCCAACACCATCCATTTTCTTCTTTTTCCCCCACTACTAGCCGTCCATTATGGGATATAGATTTCTCCGACGGCTGTGATTGTGATTATCTTTTGTTTTTCTCCGAAAGCATATCTATTGTAACAAAAAGAAAACGGGCCAAAGAAAAGAACATTAAGATATATCTGTCTTAAAATAAGCACAAGAACCAGCCTGGCATGACGGCACAAGCAAGAAGACTTACAAGGGAGGAAAGGTAGAGATGTTTGCCCCCATCCACAATTCAAAGACAAAGCAGAAAAGACTAAAATAAGAAAACTATTCTCACAGTGAAGTTCAATCCAATCATGGAGAAAAGTACCTAAATTACATTTGTAATTTAACAACCATGTTGCAATATCTACTTCAAATAAAATATTATATAGTATAGTAGGAGCTATTCTGTATAGAATTAATATTATACTATTAGTAAAGTTTACCCAATGTAGCCAGCCACATAAGAAGCCCAGGCAACAAACGGTCCCCACACATATAACAATGGGACACATATGGGTCCCTCAGCCTACATGCTGTTCTATCTTTAAATTCCTCAACTTCTTCCTTTCTAAGCGACAAAAGAGTATTAATGTCGAAATGGATGGATAAATCTGATACTTCCCTCTTAATCAATCCACATACTTCTGCTAACATTTTGAGCAAAAGAAATAGAAATACAGCATATAAATTTTGGGAGAATCAACTTGAGCATAGCTGTATATTTAGAGCTCAGGAACAGTTATTTCATAAACTAAAAGTTTCAATCTACGCTCCATAATTGTAATGCTATATTCTAAAAAGAGATAATAAGAAAAAAAAATGGGAGGGACTAAAGAAAAACAAATGGAGGTGTGACCCCACCCGTGTGGGTAAGGCCAGGAAAGGACATTGAACCAATGGGTAGTTAACAACTCACCAGCACCTGCCACCGAATCCGCTTCTTTAACTCAAAAGAGTACATGGACTTTACTTCTTATCAAAAAAAAACCTTTAAGATTCTTCCAATACTACAATTTGGTCCTCCAGCTGGCACACATTGGAGTATTATAGAAACAGCCACTCGGTCCCTTTTGTCCACTATTGGCAATAAGGGATAACTTCTTAATAATTTATGTACACTAGCATAACGCCTAAACCCACATGCCCCCAATATTTTCTTGATACCCATCTTCCTGCTTTCAAAACGTAGACCACACTTTCTGACCTAAGCAATAAACAGACATTTAGGATGAAGAAGTTCTAAATATACTTAAAACCTGAGAATTCAGTTCCAATTTGAACAGAGAAGCCTTGAGAAAAGTGATGCATATCTGTAGAGCTATGTGTTCTGGTGCATCAATAAAAGCAACTCTTGAAATAAGTCAAAGTGAGAGAAATATGGAATGGTAACCGTACCTTTTAATAAGAAGAGGAGTTCCCCAGGGCGAAATATGTTGTTTAAATGGAGCCAGAACGCTGCAGAAAATAATCTGTGTTGGACCTGCAAGGAAATTCCATATCTACAAACCACTTTACTTCAGGCAAGACCACCGTGTGAAGGATTGGATGGCTACACGATATATAATCATTCCGAACTGGCAAAAGCTTAAAGGAGCAGGAAATAGAATTGCTTTATCGACAATTTCAATACACGGAACACCATCAAGTATCCATTCATAAAAGAACGCAAAGTCTGTACAAACAAATCGAATGGCCCGTTTTTTCCCTTTTTATTTTCAGACCCAGGAAAAATCGTAAAATAGGATACACATCGCCTGGAAGATGGAGTTAGAAGAAGAAGCACAAAGTAACTGGAGAGAGACGGAAAAACAACGAAAAATAGGACTAAAATTGGAAAATTTATCAAAAAAGTCAAAAAAAGTCCTGCAGGGAAATTTACCGGCGACCTCATATATCCTCTGAGATTTCACAAGGAGTATCCGTACAAATCGTATGGTGACCATAGGGAGTCCAGTGGACATGGTTGTTTAGAGTCCAACCTAAGCCATGGCTTCCCACTGCCGGACCAATGCAAGAGGCTCGTCGGACCCGGGTGGAGGTCACGGCAGCTGCCTCTGACGCTATCACCTCCTAAACCATGCTGGTTCCATCGGTGTTCGATGGTCGCCACGTTGCCCGCGAAAACCAACAGGAACGGCGGCAGTGACCCAAGTTCATAGATGCGATTACTCTTCTGAAGCTTCATCCAGGATTCAATCTTCTCCGTGTACCCACTAGCCCTCCACTTAACCAAATCTATGACCATAACGCCGGTGTTGAAGTAACATGGTTTTCTTCCAGCAAATGTTCCGAAAAGTCTCTCATCAGACCAGAAACGCGCTGTGAAATACTTGCTAAAATTGGCATGGCAGTACTCAGGAGCTCCGATTGTCCACTCACCCAAACTCGTCGTCCATAGCTTTCGAATATCATCTACCACAATAAGATCAGAATCCAGGTAAATTACCTTCTTCACACAGGACTCGAGCAACCCAGCCAAGTAATTTCTAGCATAATTAAGTGGCTGCTCCAGCGCTTGCCTGACCGAAGTGGAGATAAGATCGCGGACAATCTCCGGATCGAAATAGTACACTTTAAATTTCAACTGAGGGAAGGTGGATCGAACGAAGTCCTCGAGACTTGTATCCGAAACGAGGAAATGAAAGAAAACACTGTCTGGACATTGCGAGTTTCGAAGAATCGAATTGACGGCCGCAACTGAGCCACGAAGGTACTCCACATCAAGCGTAATAGCAACATGAACCAAATTCGGATCGCACACACCAAACTTCCCAGAATATTTCGAGTCACCGCCACCGCATTGACCGGCATTGCGAAATGTAGATGCCTTTCGGAAGGAGAATCTGTTCAACGATCCGGAAGAGGGAGTATCAAGAGGCAAACGAAGGTAAAAATCAAGATGAGAGGATCGAATGGCTTCAGCCGGAGGAAACGATTGCAAAGCCGGAGCAAGCACAATCATCACCATTGCTGCGGAGAAAACCCCCGATACTGTCATCAACCAAAGCATATTCACCCTGTAAACCTCGTTCTTCTTTTTCTTCTTCCACTACAAACCAAATCGATCTACCAAAATCGACAAAAAAAGAACACGTTCCAAGGAACGCTAGGGTTCCTTTAACGTCCTCCAGAGCTCTCAAGAAATCAATACATCAAAGAAAACAACAACAAATATAAGCCCTAAACGAGATCTAATCAATTTTTTCCTCCCCGCAAGTACGTAAAAGCGAAAACGTATGCCGTGGGAACAAAGCAAGCAGAGAGGAGAAAAAGGCAAAAGAAGAAAAAGAAGATGATGATGGCAACGCTGTAGCGGATAGCAATGAACAAAAATCGGACCTCAAAAGAAACGCCGATAGAGGATTTCACCGGCGGCCGATCTGCAGGAGGATTCTCTCTCTTCTTCTCCTCCTCCTCCTCCTCCTCCTCCTATTACTCTGTCGGTTGCAGAGCAATGGAAGAAGACAAAGCTGCAGACGCACAAAGTGGTCGAGTGAATGGACCTTTTCCATTTCAAATCCCCACATTGGCCTAAATATTAATTATTAAAGTCTTTGGGGTTAGAGGGTCAATTGCTACATTTGTTATTTCATTATTATGGAAAGTTGGTAGGCCAAAATGTAATTAAAAAGAATATATCTTCATTTTTCTCTCCCTCATCCATAATTATAAAACAAAAATTTTAGATATTTCATTAAAAATGTTTTAGAAAATAAAAATTTATGAATATTAGTTGAGATTCATTGTTACATTTTAGTATATGAGCGACCTTTCATCTAAATATAATTTAATCAGTGAAGATATATATTTTCAGAATTAAATATTTAATTTTTTTTCTTTATATCGGTCCATTCACAAAAAGAATAACGTTTCCACTCATTTTCTCGGGTCAACTCTCTATACTACACCATTATGAACTTGTATTTTTTGTATAATTACACTTACCATATGTGATTTATTTGTATGGTATTTAATTAATATTTATATTTTTATTCGTTCTTTTAACCATTAAAAATAAAAATAGTTAAAAGTTAAGATTTTAATATTTCGTAATGAATTAAATATAAAACCAAGCAAAATTTCTTTGTTTTAACTCAATTCGAACTCTATCCTATTTTTAAAAAAAAATTAAGAATATTTGAAGTTTGTAACTGATTTTAACGATAGATTGTGACCGTAAACTTTTGATATTTGAAGTTTATGAAATTTTAGTTATAAATATAACATGTATTATGGATAAATATAATTTTTTTAAAAAATAAATAAAAGAAGAAAACAACATGACGACCCAACCCAATTCGCAAATAGACGGTTAGGATGTGTAACAGTTCAAGTCCACCGCTAGTAGATATTGTCCACTTTGACCAGTTACGTATCGCCGTCAACCTCACGGTTTTAAAACGCGTCTACTAGAGAGAAGTTTTCACACTCCTATAGGAATGTTTTGTTCTCCTCTCCAACTGATTTGGGGTCTCACAATCCACCCCCTTTAAGGCTATACTCTTTATAACAACTCAAGCTCACAATTAGCAGATATTGTCTGTTACATATCGTCGTTAGTCTTACGGTTTTAAAACTCATCTACTAGAGAGAAGTTTCCACACTCCTGTAGGAATGTTTTGTTCCCCTCTCCAACCGATTTGGGATCTCACAATCCACCCCTTTTAAGGCTATACTCTTTGTAACAACTCAAGCCCACAATTAGCAGATATTGTCGGTTACGTATCGCCGTTAGTCTCACGGTTTTAAAACGCGTCTACTAGAGAGAAGTTTCCACATCCCCGTAAGAATGTTTTGTTCCCCTCTTCAATTGATGTGAGATCTCTGAGGATGGGTTATGAATTGTATTTTAGTTGCTCGAGCACCAACCCATCTAAGCCAAAATGAATAAAGCATTAACACTATCTATTTGGTTTTAAAACGTGTCTACTTGAGAGAAGTTTCCACACCACTATAGAAATATTTCGTTCCCCTCTTAAATCGATGTGAGATCTCTCAGAATAGGTTATGAATTGTATTTCAGTTGCTCGACCACTAACCCATCTAACCCAAAACGAATAAAGCATTAACACTATCTTATTTTATTATATTTCTATCACATATTATGGTTTAATGTTGAAAATTAATAAAGTGTTTGTAGTCTTAATGTGTGTTGATGATTTGTTTGATAATCAAGGGGGAAAGAACATTAATCTCATGATGATGAGCAATGAAGGTAGTTCCTTCGAGAAGATTCATCCCGAAAGTGATCGTCACACATTGAAGAAAATAAAGCTTTTTTATTCTTTTTAATTTCTTTATATGACTCGTTTAAAATTCATTTCCAAGTATTATTTATGTAGAAAAAGGATCGTTTTAAATGGTATCAAAGAGATATCTCTCATATTAAGATGTTCATAGACGAACCAATATGGAAGTTGGTGGGCATGACTAAGATGTTATTCGGAGACGAACCAATGCAGAAGTTAATGGACATGTGACACCCAAGTAAAGGAGGAGTCATCTAAGTGCCAAATTCGAATGTCGAACCCTAAGTGTGGGTGAAGATGAAGAAGTTAGCTCGGGTTCCTTGCTAACCTAATAACATTCCTACGTGTCCTCGTAACGAACCATAATAATAATTAAAGAATGGAATATATGCCATTTTCGTAATATAATATTAGAAAATAAAAAAGAAATATATTTTCTAAGAATTTGTTATGGCATCACGATCTTGTGTGACATGTCTTGGAGCAGTTACATTCATTTAATCTTCAATGTGGACAATAGTAAGAGATAGCCTTTACCGAATAAAGCGACTACTCACCTGTCCTTACACTAAAATAATAATTTTTTTTTAAAAAAAAAATTAAATCTAGGTATTAAAGAAAATATTTCAAATGTTTTTTAAAAAAAAATTAAAAGTTAATTATTTTTTATTATTAAGCTTGGCTACTTTTCTTTTCTGTTTGAAATTTTCAAAAAGTATACCAAAAGTGAAAAGGTTCAGGGTTCTGGAGTTCCTTTTTAAGAATACAAAAAAAAGTCGAATTTATTACGTTTGAAATAAAATTAATTATCGTATTTATAAATTTGTTATTCTAAAAAATAATTTATAAATATGCTAAATATATTCTTCTTAGATGTGATATCTCACATTGATTAGTGAGGAGAACGAAACACTCCTTGTAAGGATGTGGAAACCTTTTCTTAGCAGACCTGTTGAGGACAATATCTATTAGCGGTGGCTTGAGCCGTAACATTATATCTATACAATTTCTTTTTATAAAGATTTTAACCTTCATAATTGTTAAGGATGAAAAAATGGCCTGTAATGAGAAAATTAGGTCACAAATCGTGTTGAAGTAGTCAAATCTTTTGAAGGGGTCAAAATTCCTCGAATGGACCAAAGTTTGAGTCATAGTTGACTGTTGACTGATTAGCTTGAACCTAAATTGAACCAAATCATGTCCCGACTCAAATTTCTTTTTCTTGGCATGGATCGTCGTGTTTTGGGCTTTCTCTCCAGTCGTCAAACGGTGCACTTGTGACACTCCCAATGATTCAACTCGCGACAAATGAGAACTATTGGAACCTTGGAGACATGACTACCAATGACGATGACAATGGAGTTAAATGATCGACGGTGAGTGACAATGTAACGAGTTGCTTTTCGAGAGATGCGAGCTACGGACCGTTACTTACTGACGTGAAATATTTTTAAATTGTGCATGCACTTAAGGCAAAATTAGATTTAAAAATGCAACGTTCAAAGTACACAATTATATACTGATAACTACAATGATGCACAATCCAAAACATGACATAGATAGTTTATAAAGTCTAGAAGTACAAAAATCAAAAGTTCATAAAACATATCAAAAGGAGTAGAATACACCAATCTAGCCCGAATCTCCATAGCCTCTAGCACGTGGGCGCCTCTACCTTGACTGCTCCATCATGCCTCGTCTTAAAAATTTAAGATAACATGGATGAGTATATAAAATATACTTAGTAGCTTGTTGGTAGTTCTTACTTCATTATTAAGTTGTATCGATCTTAGTTCGTTCATTCGGTGTCTTGTTCTCATTTGAGAGTTCATTCACAAGAATGGGCTCTTCCTAGGTTACACTCTAGGGTTACTCATTCTACACAAGCTCCACTTAGGGTATTTTAGTGGAAGCTAGTTCAATTTCTTGATTCTTGGTCCTATCTATCTAGACCTTCAGCCCTCGTAATTTTCTTGAGTTCTTTAAGTCTTCTAATTAGTCATTTATGCTTGTCTCTTTCACCATCACTGTAGTTCTTGATCTAAATCGTAGGTCTTCGACACGCGACCTCGATACCAGTCTCATAAGGTTCATGCATTCTAAGATTCGATCAACTCTCGAGGGTATTGCTATGGGCCCTTGCCGCTTGCAAGTTCACTAAAAGAAAACTGACTGACAAACTTTCTTGTAATCCCTACAGAGTACAATCATACAAAATAAAACATCATAGGCCAGTTCTATAGTTATCCGAACCTCTGACAATCGAGTCAGGTTTACAATTAAAGGTTAGTGGACGAACTCCTAATCGTCCACATATAACCACTAACTCACATGCATGAACAATAATCAAAAGTCTCAAGATCAACCAACTCTAAGGTGCAACTATGGACCCCTATCGCTCGTGATAGATTCACTAAATGAAAGCGAACGGAAAAACTTCCTAAATAGCCTCACAGAATACAGTCATATATCAACTCCAAGGTACAACTATGGACCTCAATTCTATAGTTATTTAGACACCTGACAATCGAGTGGAGTTTATGATTAAGGGTTAGATGGTGGATCCTAAATCGTTTCCATATAACTGCTAAAATCACATACATATACAATAGAGACATGACATATCAGCCTAAACATGGATACTTAATAATAATTTCAAATCCATACATTTCATAGCTCGTTTCATACTTTTCTTAAAAAAACATGCACAATAACATTCTACATGTGTTTGAATTCATGTTATTGTTACGTGTAATAATCATATAATTTTAAAATTTAAATCAAGCCTATGAATTTCCTCAACAATTCATTTACAGAAGCAAGATTTCTGAATCATAAGTATTGTCCTTCAACTGTATTGTTCACAATTATAATACATTATCCTTCGCATAAATTCTAGAAAATAAACACCAATAATCAAATATATGTTTTTTTCAAATTTTATTTTCCGTATGAGAAAACTTCTTAGAAGTTTCTCAACATTAACCAAGGCAATTTCTCAACACGTCTTCAAAGTTGGAGTAATTTCCTAGCAAATTCAAAGACATATAATAATAATAATAATATTTATAGAATAGCTTAATTTTACAATTAATTATATGAATTATTATTATATTCGTGTATTAATTCTAACTATTATATCATTTCAATTATATGCTCAATAAATTATAAAATATACATACGACATAAATCAATAAAAATGGTAAGATTTATTTAATTTTTTGAATTAAATTTGATAAAATTAAAAATTTATAGTTGAAATTGATATAATAATAATTATTAATAGTATTAAAAAAAAAAAAAAAGTTGATTTACACTCACCTTCCAGCCTTGGAGTTCCCTTCTCTGA